CATATAAATATTCATTGTGTAGATTCCCTAGGCACCCTTTAAAACATCAACCAGGCACAGAGTCATCTGTTCCCCCCTTTGCTCCTGCTTTTAAGAAAGGTTAAAAGTAAATTGGAATATGAGTTCCATTATAGTAGTGACAGTGATAACTTCTACCAAAAATGACACCAGCTCAGAATTAGAGTAGTCAGAGAGTCAGATGAAGTGAATCTATTTGATAGAGAATTCTGTCCTGAGTTCTAGAACCATCTATAAGAGCTTTATTTTTTCCATTTGCTTTGGAACAAATAATGCAAGAAGTTGAGAAGAAAGCCAATTTGTAGGAAAAGCATGGGTTTTTTTTCCCTTCTCAATGTGTAAGGTAGAAATGTTTTTAATTGAAATATCATGTACCTTATACCGTAATGTATTTTAAATAAAGATAATCTATAGGGAAAAAATTATTGAGACACAGAAAATTAGACTAGAATGTTTTCTTATGCTATTAAACAATCCCCATAAGTAGTCACTGGCAGTTAATGCATTCATTTTTAAAACAGATTAGTTGTGCTTCCTAGGAGTATCAATAGGAAGAGAAAGAGAAAACAACAACAACAACATTTGACCCTCTGTCATCAAAAGTAAAAGATAATTATCTAGGAATAGATTCTTTCTTTTTTGAGGAAGAGGACCTGGATAAATGTAAGAAATGTAAGGCAGGATTCAGGCTCATTCAAAGTTGGCCATTAAATTTACTTTTCCCTTTTTCACTCAGCATTTTTCCCAGCATACCCATGTAACTTTTGTTCAGGATGTGATTGGGCAGACAATGGCATCAGCAGGAATCAGAGCTAAGAAAGTGAAACAGAGTGCTTAAGCGTGAGGTGGGAGGCTCAGAAAAAAAGAGGCTATTTGTATATCTTTCTCCTCAATTAGAAATACAATTTCTGAGTTCTTATTGCCTCAGAACTTGGAGTTGCTTTTCTTTTGTTTTAGTGTGAGTGCTATTATTTAATTATGAATCATTTATAAAAAAGACTTTTCTTTGCCCTAGCTTCTCAAAGGGTGTTCTGTAGATTCGCAGCAGTAGCAGCACCCAGAAACTTGTTAGGAACACATACTGTCAGGAGCAAACCAGAACTACTGGGATGGGTGACAGAATCACCAGGCAATTAGTATGCAAATTAATGTCTGAGAAGTGCTGGTCTGGAGGATTCATAATGGCCTAGAGGGATTGAGAAGTTAGGTTAATTGCCCCTGAGGCCAGAGCTCAAACTGTCAGTGGACAGCAGAGCTATATGTTCCAAGAGGAGAGTAAAATCATCCCCGATGTGTTCATCACTTATGGAGCAATGTCACTCATAACATCTTATCAGCTCACCCTGTTAATTACTCTCACACATGCTTGCACAGTCTATATATCAATAAAAAAGTGGAAGAAAGAAATGCAGAAACAGAAGCTAAAGAGAGGGAGAGCGAGAAGGAAGAGAAAAAGGAAAGAGAAAAAAACCTCACGTATTTTGTTTATTTTGTTTTATTTTGACTACCCGTCAAGAAGATTTTTACTTGCAGAGCCTGTGATTTAAAACCCCCAACTGCTATTCCCAGGTCCACACCTTCTCTCCTACTTCCTCCAAAACTATAATGAACATTGAATAAGCTATGCAAATGACACACATAAAAGTATAAAACTTTGCATAACACCTTTGAGAAATAACAGAAGCTGAATTAATGTGATGCTATTTTAAAAGGTAGAGATGGGAAAGGGGTCATCAGTGTTCTGTACTACAGTCAGGAATTGGAAATTTGGCTAAAATGGTCCTGGACACAAGAGCAGATCATCTCAAATATATATGGGGAAATTCTTACTGCTCAGAAGTCAGGAAGAGAAAAAGCTCTCAGGAAATTAGTCTACCACACAGGAAACCTCTGAATCTCCCTGATACAGAACAGTTCCATAAAGAGTCAGAGCATAAGGTTGACCTAACAGAGAAGATATAATAAGGGGCTGTGGGAGGTAGGAGAGATAGGAAAAAATAATGAACTTATTATCCAAATGATTGAAAGATTTTTAATGGAGCAAGAGTGTTTGACTAGTTTATTTCCACATCCATAAATAATCAAAAGAACATAAACTTCCCTTAAGCTAAGAAAAACTCAGACTGGAAATTAAGTACAATTTTCAATAGAATGACAAAAAACACTTAGGACTATGGTATGGGTTACAGACTTGTAGTAATTCACATTGTGAACCTTCTCCTGAAACGACTTTGTTCTAGTGAAATTTGTATAAAATGAGCAATAATCAAAACAAGAAATATTTTGGAGAAGGATGTAGAGGGGAAAGAAAGATCTCTATTGACAAAAGGGTATTTCTGGGCTGACTGCATGTAATCAAGCTTCATATTTTGCAAAACCATATTGTTGTGCTACCTCTTCTGTCTGAGTCACTGTGTAACAAGGGCCGTGGAGAAGATCAAAGTCAGCCTGAATCCGTTTACTAGGATTGGATGGGTTTGCTATGAGGGAGTATGTAAAGTTGTGAATAGACTTCTCAGGGATAATAAGGTACCTCTCTTTGTAAAGCCTGCAGAAGTAAACCACCAGTTCTGAAGCATTCAAGATTTTGTTTTTTGGGAAATGAAGGACCTTCCAGCTTTGTGTTCCATAATTCTGAAATGATGCACCCTTTTATGATCATGTCTACAAAAATGTATGATGACACTCTACTAGAAAATGATTTTTGTTGTTGTTTACTTTTAAATACATTATAAAAATAAGGGAGTTCTGTTATTGAATATATGAAAAAAAGCAAAATAGCCCTGAGTAGACAAGATCTAAGCGAGGAAGGCAGGATAGCGGCATTCTAAAAAAAACTAATAAGCTCAGCATAACATTTCAGTCAGGGAAAGGCACTGCTTACAGACAGATGCCTGTAAATCTCACTGAAGCAGCATTGTTTTAAAATTTCCTCAGCCCCAGGAGATTGTATTAAGCACAGAAAGGCAGCAGTTTTAGAGGCACTAGATTCCTGGCCCAAGTTTCTAGTGTGAAGCAGCTAGAATTGGCAATATATGTACACTTTAAAAAATTGTCTGAGATGAACCATTCTTTGCAGACAGATAAGGGAGTTTTAAGAATCTATTTTCTTGGGGGAATTGAAAGGTTTTGTTTACTGTAGATATTAACTATTTATGTAGATGACAAAATTTCCTTCTATAAATCCATTTCACTACATATTTTTACTAGTTTTCTTGGTTTTAGATCAAAAGTGAATAATTTTAGAGGCAGATAGAATTATGCTATGTTGACGTAATTAGTAGCTGTAAATAACTTTTGACATGATACTATTATTGCTTATTCACGAAGAGTATTAGGTATAAATTTCCTCACAACTTCTTCTAGAAGATATCTGTTTGTGACTACCTTTATATACAATGCCCCTAATGATAAGCAAGCTAGTTTAGATGAAATTTGCTTCACTGTACAATGTACAAGGGCAATTTTTAAATGAAGCTTTTTCTGTCCTCTGGCTTAAACTTTATTGTTATATGTGACCTGACATTATTCCCATTTAAATACATTCCACTTTTAATTAAGATGTTGATTTTATGAAAAACGCTTGTCAAAAAAAAACCTCAAAGCTTTGCTGTTCAGTAAAAATCAATTAAGTGAGCACCCACGAAAAGATTTTTATTTATGACAAACTCAGGTGCTTATTTTCTAGTGTTTGTTAGCTCTTATAAAACAGATGATCCTGGCTAAATCAAATAAGCGCTATGACTTGGGTTTAGACCTTCAAGTTTAAATTAATCAGATATTTGAAAGATGTTCCAACTTCCTTTCAACTGAAATAGAAAATAATAGCACTCTAAAAGCAGAGCTTCTTAGAAAACAGTTATATAAAATGTCTTTTCAATTTTTGTACTCTGGTGCCCTTTACTATAATAGGAAAATGGTGTTATCGCCTGATTACTGAGAAAGCACACAAAAATCTCGCCTTCCAAATCTGAGCCAGTCCTTGACTAGTAATGAACAAAGCCAGGCCATCTGCTCTGAATATCATTACTACTTTGGCCATTTGGGCAAAGGATCTATCTTCTCTGCTTCCAAGAGAGGGTTAAGATGGGAAAATTGAAATAAGTAGACAGCAAGAGACATTTGAACAAACAGCACTTTCAAATGAGATCCCCATTCCTTAGGCTATGATGATTGTCATCATTTTAATTTTTATTCTTGCGCAGAGTTAACCTTTGCGGCCCCTATTTTACAAAACATTTCAGTAAAAAAAGAAAGAAAGAAACTTAATTCCAGAGTTCCTGCAGTAAACGCTTAGGAAGGAAAACGGACATGTGGGTGAATATGAGTCATCAGTCACCCCCACCCTGCTTCCTGGAGATTCTCCATTGGAAAACCAGAAATACAGGTTGAGTTTACATGTCTATTTTTCTGGAACCACACTATGCCTCAGGCCATGTTAATTTCCTGAACTAAACAGCCCCTAATCTGCTGAAAGGCAGCTGGCTAACTGCTGGTGTCTGGCAAGTGCCCCATCTGTCCCCGTGCCCGGGGTCTCTCCTTCCTGCCTGCACTTTCCCTTTTCCCCGCAGCAGGCGTCCCTCTTTGTTTTCAGGGGTGTCGTTCGCCTGAACTTTCCTTCCTAAGGCTGTAAACTTGAGCTCTTTTCCTCTCCCCTGCGGAGCCGGGGCTTTGTCTCAGTGACAAGACACAGTTGTGCGACTGTAGTTACCGCGCTGGTGATGGTGGAGATGATGACGGTGATGGTGGAGATGGGGGTGCTGATGGTGTCGGGGAGCGCAGGCTGAGCGGCGCCGGAGGAGGATGGACCGCGGAGGCGGCGGCGAGCGGGGCGGGGGCGGGAGGGATGGAGTGCAGAGGGATTGCGGATGGGAGCTGTCCACATACCGAAGTGCTGAAACGCCGCAGCCATGGCATCGCCAGAGCGGGGGAAAGGCGGGGAGGCGCTGCGAAAACAGAAGGGAGAAAAAGGCAACAAATACCTTTACACGGCCGCCCAGCCTGGCTTTGGGAATGTTTCTGCAGGTGTCCTCGCTGCTGAACTGGGTGGGTGAGATCCCCTATGCTGGCAGGTTCGGGTTCAGATTTCTCTAGAAAGCTGTGAATGAGAGCTCGGGCTCCACACGGGGCTGTGATTTTGGTAGGAGGCGTGTGCGCCCGATTCTCTGTCCTTCTATACCGAGCCTGGCTTTCCCCTGGGTCCTAAGTGCCTCCGCACCGTTGCTCTCCCCCGGTTCCGTCGAGAGGTACTAATACTTATTGTAATTTTGTTAACATCTGGGACAAAAAGTACTGGAACCCTCACTCCCCACACAACCCTAAAAATAGAATATTTCAAACTGATTAATGCCAGCTCAGAAGCAGACCAATGTGTGTGTGTGTGTGTCTGTGTGTGTGTGTGTGTGTGTGTGTGTGTGTATGTGTGTGTGTATGTGTCTGTGTGTAAATTTGACAGACGAGCAAGTATCACAAATCTGTGGGAAAAAGGATGGATTACTTTATTTAAAAATAATGTTAATAAAATGAACTATTTTAAAAGCCTCAATTAAAGCTTCATTACATCAGAATACATTATACATGGATAAAATAGCTCAACAAAAAAGTAATCTAAAAAAACTAGAAGCTCATAAATATTTTCCTGATCTCAGAATAGAGGAGGTTTCTAAACACAAGAAGAATAGAAGACATTACAAAGAAAAATATCATTAACTTTGAGTGCACAAAAATACCTCTGGGTGTCAAAATATCAAAAAAATAGTAAATATACAAATTACCACTTTAAAATTGCAACAAATGGATGTTTCATACATAAAATATTTCATAAAAGAAAAACAGCCTCATAGAAAAGAGGCAGAAGGGTAAATGACAATGTGCAGAAGAAAGGGAATGCATAATAAACACATTTTTAAAAATAAACCTTACCAGTAAACAGAAATATGTAGTTTATAACAGTTTTGGCTGAGGTTTTAAATACACACATCTCATATTGTAGGGATAAAAGTGAGAAAGAGTAATGTCTCTACAAATCTATTTCACAACATGCATCAAGTGTTGTGAAGTATACATGACAATTAGATACAATAATTCCACTTCTAGTTCCTTATGCTGGGAATGTGTTCAGATATGCAGGCAAAGATTCATGCCTATGAACTTCATTTATGATTATAGAAATTATTGAGAATTATAAAAGTACTACATTTGTATATAGTCTATAATATTTACAGCCATGAAAAACATTTTGAAGACATATTTTTCATTTTGAGAAATGCTTACAAAATGATAAGCGATGGAAAGCAATATAACAAATAAAGCATTCCTCTTTTTCCTCAATTATCAAGTTGGTAAGATCATAGAATAGTATGAGATCACAGGTTTGTTTGTTTGTTTGTTTGCCAAGGTGACTTGATTTTCTTCCTTGTATTTGTCTTAAGCTTTCATGTATACTAAAAACAAAGAAAACTTATGACATAGTTTAAGGCAGTCTTTCTATTATGTATTTTACAGAGACTTTGCAGTCATCGGAATTCTTCCAACTCTGACATAGTATTATATACTTATTTACTTCCTTGTTTGCTGTCTGTGTCTTCAACAGAATGTAAGTACCATGCCTCAGATAATTTATTTGTTCATTATAGTTTTTCAAGCACTTAGAAGTGTGCCCGGAACATCATTTTTGTTTATTTATTTATTTTTATTATAAAGATGTGGGGTACAGTTCAGGATTAAGTATACAAAAGTTGATTATTCAGATACCCTTGTTGATGAGGTATAACTCCCCCTCCCCTGACAGTGTCCCACTACTGCCAATCCCTTTCTTATACTATTATAATTGTTCAAGGTCTGCTTATGAGTGAGAACATATGGTACTCTGTTCTTTGTTTCTGTGATAGATCACTGAGTATGATTGACTCCAAATCCATCCAAGTTGCTGTGAAGTCCATATATTTGTCCTTCTTTATGGCTGCATAATATTCCGTTGTGTATATGTACCATTTTTTATCCATTCCAGCTTTGATGGGCAACATGGTTGGTTCCATGTTTTTGCTATTGTGAATAGAGCTGCAACAAATATACATGTACAGGTATCCTTTTTGTAGAATGATTTGAGTTCCTCCAGGTATATTTCTAATAGAGGAATTGCTGGGTCATACGGAAGGTCAATTTCCAGTTCTTTCAGAAATCACCACACTCTTCCAAAGAGGTTGCACAAGTTTTCATGCCCTCCAGCTGTGTAGAAACATTCCTTTTTCTCTGCATCCCCACCAGCATCTGTTGTTTGTTTTATTAATGATGGCCATTCTTACTGGGGTTAGATGGTATCTCAATGTGGTTTTGATTTGCATTTCTCTGATGATGAGTGAGGCTGAGCATTTTTCATGTGTCTGTTGGCTGCCCATATATCTTCCTTTGAGATGTGTCTATTCATGTCTTTTGCCCACTTTTTAAAGGGGCTTGGAACATCATTTTTAGTTTATACATCTCCAGAATGAGAAGATCCACATATGGATATGCTGTAGAGATAAGATAACCACATAAAACCTAGAAATTCACATGTTGGAAATGCTTTTCTGGAAGAATTTTTGGAGATGGGTTTGGTGTGTTCTAGGGGTGGTGGTACAAAGGGAGCCAGGATATTTTTGGTAACCACAAGAGCAGATTGTTTACACACACTAGACCCTTCACATAGAGAGAGGGCCATGCTCCCATCACGAGCTATGAGCGGAAATGATGCATATTACTTCCAGGTTAAAGAATAAGGTCAGGTACAAGTTCTCAGTGTATTATTCTTACCTGCTGTGATAATTCCTCACTTGGTTCCTGGGTGACTTAAGTGGAACAGAGCTCTCACCGTCCTCCACATCTCCTACCCCCAGTGTGAACAAGGAAGAAGCTATTGTTATGGGAAGCATTGGGACTGCAGAGTTAATTTGCTCTTTCAGCATTGTCTAACCTATCCTGACCCAATACAAAATGCCGAAACTTCAAAATTGGTATATTAGATAATAGAAATATTCATGACACTAATATTCTATTAGTGATAAGAAAAATATTAGTGAAAATGTCTTATGATAATATATTGGGATATATGTTATGAAACCACACAGGGGGAGAACAAAATATAATCTAGTTAATTAAAATATCTTTACTTTTACAAGTTGACCTTACTCCTCACAAATTTTCTCAGCCATTAAACCTCCAACTTAGGTAGATGTCCAAAAATAGGCTGTTTAATTACAATATTATCCTAATATCTCCTTCATACATATCAAGATTTCTTTGGGTATTAAACCCATTCCTCCTGAACTCTCAACTTCAGAGCATTCCCATGTGGATAGGGCATTTACCTGTCACCAGCCAACACACAACAAGTACTCTCCTGATGTCCAAAACTAGATTACATTATTAACAAGGTCCTTTAAGACAGTACAGAAATGAGTAACTGACTAGGGAGTCCCAGGCACAAGGTCAGGCAGCATGAAAGGTGTTTGTGAACAGACCACACTTTCCCGCTTGCTATTGATAGGTTATACACAAAAGAGTACATGGAGAAGTCCTGGCAAACAAATATATAGGTAGCTGTAGTGTGAGGAGCTGAAAGGGGAATTGAGCAGTATGAAAAATGTCAGCACAATGTGAATGAAGAAAAAAATTACTGGATGGTCATTTTCGAATCTGTTCTAGGTAAAGTGGCCATGTTTATCAGAGTAGCCCCATTTTCTATGGAATGAAATTAAAAAGTATATGATCAAATTACATTCACATTTAGCTGGTTTCCCATGTAAGGCAGTTATAAGCAAGTGGTTACAAAAAGGATGATGTATTCTTTACACTATTCTGAAAAGTACATACCTCAGCCTTCTTGGAAGTACACTGGTTTTTAGCCCACTCTCTTCCCATAGAAGACTGGGAGTTGATGGGTTATTTTAATTCTCTGAGGTTCCACAGGCTTTTTTATTCCAACCTCATAATTTATTTGAAAGTTTAACTCTCTGAAGACCTTGGAAGTGCATCTTCCATCTGACTTAACCAGTTATTTATTCCAGTAACCACACCATAGGTCTTTGGAGACACAGAACTTAGATCTGCTATATTTATTTGCTTTTTCATTCCTACATCTTTCTAATATGTCTCTGTGCCTCTCTAGAGTAGTAAGCAGTAAGGATAGTTTTTTTTACCTGATCTTTTCCTTAAATCATCCTAAACCATTAAGAAGTTTCAAGTAAACATAAAGCCCACATTCTTAATCTGATGATTGACAAAAATATTTGGATTTAATGGACTTTCCCCCAAATGCTTGCTTCATTTTGTCTCTTTCTTTGAACATAAAAATATATTGACCTTTCCAACATGGCAAGATCTGGATTTCTGGAACTCTCTGTTTCTCTTTATTTCTACTTTAAAAACTAGACATCTCTTTCTTTACTCTATTGGAAAATGTAGCAAATAATAACCAAGATATACTACTGACACTTTGTTTCTTACCTACTTCCCCATAGAAATGTAAATTATTTAAGTACACATCTTTGTCATGATTAACACATAACAAGTGTGCATATTTATGGGACAAAATGTAATTATTTGTATATATATTGTGTAATGATAAAATCAGGGTAATTAACATATCTAGCACCTTAAACATTCATCATTTCCTTGTGATAAGGACATTTTAAAATCTCTCTCCTAACTATTTTGAAATATGCAACACATTATGGTGAACTTGGTCATCCTACTATGTAGCAGAATACCAGAACTCATTCCTCTTACTAACTGTAGCTTTGTTCCTGGTAATCAATCTCTCATCATATTTTCCTCCCCACTATCCTCTCCAACCTCTGGTAGCCACTATTCTACTTTCTACTTCTACAAGAACAACTTATATGTATGAGTGAGATCATGTGATATTTTCTTTCTGTGCCTGGTTTATTTCACTTAATATTATCTAGGTTCATCCATATTGCCACAAATGACAGGATTTCATTCTTTTCTATGGTTGAATATTATTCCATTGCATATACATATGCCACTTTTTAAATACATTCATTCACTGGTGAGTACTTAGAATGATTTCATATCTTGGCTATATTATCTTACTTCTAAGCTATCACAGGCAACAGTTTTACCAACATTTTTATCACTGCATAACATGGATTGTTATCTTTTCTA